CTAAAAAAAAAAAAAAAAAGTACAAAATACAAATATTTAATATCAATAAATAAGTTTATAAAAAATAAAAATATAAAAAAAATGTAAAAAGGTTAGAAAAAGAAAAAACAAAATTTTTGGTTTTCGGCTTGAGATTTCCTTGCGGGGCGCCTCTACTTACAAGCAATTCTACATAACTGAAGGAAGAATGAAGCTGCTTGGAGCATTGGTGCAAACTCTGATCTCACTGACACTTTAATGTGAGTACATACAGTATGTGTACCATGAATTATAAAGATACACGGAATTCTCTGAACTATAAATATGTGTTTATAGATATTCATACATAGAGGGAAATCATCTTCTACAGTCTATGATATGACTGTAGTAAATTACAAATGTCCTGTTATGTCTGTACATCAGCAGAATTATTTGCAGCAAGATTTACAGCTGGTGCCACCGTGTCTTTAAATATAGCCTTCCTTTAGGGTCTGTAGGGCAAGGCTTCAAGCAGTCTGTTAGCCTTGAGGAATATTAATCCCCGACCAATAAATCCGGGGCAGCATTGTCAGGTCTGGCTGTTTAATAATCTGTATTTCAGTTGCCCTAAAGGAATTTCATTGGTGCCATCGTAGCTACTGTCCGTGCTTACCAGGCCGTTTTGCCTGCCCACACAGATATTGATAGTGTCTCCATCTGACCGTTACCTCATGATTAGAAAGAGATGGAGCTGGAGGTATTCCCAGAACATTTTCTGCGACACAAACATTCATTAACCCCAAACAGATCATATACCATTCGCTACCTGAGGAAAGCGAACAGACTGGCAGGGTCTCTTTACAACTTTGGTCCATATATAGAATTGTTTCGGAAGGCAGACTGTAGAAAAGTTTGTCCCGGTCATATGTCTCTGTGAGTTAATATTGCCAAGGGAAGTCATGCAAAGTAATTTATACATGCAGAAAACATGTAAAAAAGAAACCGTGCAAAGCTACAAGACAAGGTCAACGCAGGGCAATTTCCTTACACAACAGCTATGCAAACCAGTGTCAACCATATATCAAATTCGACTGCTACAGATGAAATAACATAGGCCCGGGACACAAGTCAACGGATCATTTTCATCAATGGGTACACTTCTTTTTTTAGGACCTAAATGCTTAAGTTCATGCAATACCATCTCCTAATGACTGCTGGTTTAACACGGCAAATTGTTGATTTATTATTAGATTAAAGGGCGCGTTAGTAGCTCTGCTGAAGGCTCGCAGGATTAAATGAAGGGATCAGAAGGGTAAAGCCTTAATGTTTATGTTCTAGCCGGCATTCCGTGCTTCGTATTGCCTTCAGTCTATAGGACAGGGGGCAAAATATATTCTCTTTGGTGGGAGCTTCGCATGGAGCTCACGGCAGCAATAGCGAAGTATTGATAAATTAGACTTTTACATAAAAGTAGATCTGTGAGACAATATTGTATATGCTGAATTATAGAAAGAGAAGCAAAGTCCAGAATCTACGGAGCTATTTATTAAGGCTCAGATGGGTGGTTTTGCTCTAAAATCTGCGTCAGGTCTATTTATAAAGGTTTTTGTCTGACACCTTAAAGCTTGGTGATCTGTAACTTATAACGAGAAGTGAATATTGGTATCTGTACTCCATTATACTCTGCTGGGGTTCACATACTGCAGCCTATTCATAAAATGCAGTGTATGGCAGGGACATGCTGCGTGGGGGAGGCAGGCAGGGGCCTCAATTGCCATTATGGAAGAAAAAGCTGTGAGCTGTCAAGTCTGAAGCGGACTGTTTTTTCTCCATTCAGACCGGCTTCTAACAGGTTACGCAGCGAGAAAAGCCTCCCCACTGTGTAACCTGTCAGTCATCTGGCTTTTGACAGCTATGTTAGGTTACACTGCAGCAGGCTTCCCTGTGAGGTCACATCTACAACAACCTCTGACTTGGAGTCAGAGGCTTGAGCTCTGTGGATGGTTTGGACCAATTGCAAAGCGCCATTGGTCCAAGCAGTCCAATAAAAAAAAAAAGAAAAACTGACGGCATCCATCTAGATGCCTCATCAGTGATGAGTAAGTTAGGGACAGGGAGGCTCCACCCTCCATCCATCACACCTCAGTGACCGGGCCTGGGACAGGGGCAGGCCAGGGGTGCCTCTCCTGCCACTGACCTCACTGCACATCCCTGATGTATAGCCTCCGTTGCTCTATGGAGGTCTCTCTGCTTAATGCAGCAAAGGGAGCTTTGTAGAATTTGATGAAGAAAGCGGCACACTGCTATTCACCAGTACAAAGCTTTAATCCATAAAGTTTGCAACTTACAGCATGGGATTCACCACCCAGTTGCCGCCCACCTCTAACATGTTTCACCCATATGGACGCCATTGACCTTTGTGTTTGGAAAAGGAGAGCTGGTCATGTGACTGGCAGATCGTGTGACCGGGTGCTCCACCTAACTTTTAAATCCCATTCGTATCTGCTAGCTCCAGGCTCATGCAGCCAGTGGAGCGCAATGCACATTTCTAAAGCATACTACTGAGCTTTATTAGTGCACAGCGGGTGTGTTTTTGTCTCTTTTTATGGCAATATCACTTCTTTATAAAAGTCCCAACTTCTGTTTAATCCACTTTCACAGGCGTGTAAATGACACATTTAATCTGTGAAAAAAGAATATACCTGCAAATGAGAGCAGATTTGACACTTGCCAGGATACAGAGCCACCATTCCTGGAAGAGCTGGCGGCATCTGTTTGGTTGCTTGTTTTAATTATAAACTATGAGCAGACGGAAAGTTTAACGATTCTTTTGCTGACCCTCCACAGTGGCGTTCCTGCTCAAAATTAAGGGTTAGAGTCACAAAATGTTAAGGGTAGTGCACCTTCTTTAATAGCAATACATCAGATCCTGGTCACCACTTTAGAAAACATACCGTACTACAGTTTGGAACTTTTTGGACCCAATTGACCAATTTTTCAGAACACCAATTCACACTTTTACTTTGAATAAGTCATCACTGAGAAGAATGAAGGGTCACGCAGGTTGTCTGGTGATATTCTAATGAGTTGGAACATTCCTGTGACTGATAGCAGCTTACAATTATAGATGTTATTATTGCCTCTTAGAGGTATGTGACCTTATCTTTGCTCAAGTATTCTCATAGGGCCCTTTAGATTTGGGGCAGGATGGCCAGCCGATAAGTGTATGTCCAGACATTACCAATTTTTAACCCCAGTAATTTGTTCCTGTAGCAAAAAATTAAGTTTTTATTATTCCCCGTGATGTCATCACCAAACTTGTAAAATTCTTGCAGAGGCATCTTCTGGGAGGTCAGGTCCTGTTGAGGTAGGTGCTCCCCCAGAACTACATCTACAAAACGCCATTTGCCTACACGCAGGGAGGGGAATTTATCAAAATGTGGAGCAACTGTGCACGGCAACCAATCGGCTTCTTTCTCTCATTTTCAAATCCTAACTGCACAAACTGAAGAGAGACGCTGATGGGCAACTGCTCCAATTTGGGTCTTCTCCAGTTTTGATAAATTCAACAGTGTGTGGTCAGGGTCTTGAACATCAAGGTAGCAGCATGGTTTTGCTGATGAATAAATAAATGTCTGCTTGTAGAGAGGGACAGATAGGAGCAGGGGACAGTCCAGGACATTGACAATGCTGCTCAAGATTTCTGGCCAGTGAGGACTCCGTGTTTTGCACCCTTTCAGTAATGCTGCATGCGTGTGCACTGGACCCATTTTTGCTTCTCATTCAGGGGGAGATGTAAACATCAATAGAGTGTGATCAGCGTTGGTACCGCTGCTGGAAAAACATTGTTAATATTTACATGTTGCCCCTGAGCCGCATCGGTGGCCAATTAGGACAAACCTTTCATGCGTACAGTGTACAACTTTTTATACTGCCAGCAAGATCCTGTGTAATTCAATATGGCCGTGTGAATGACGCCTTAAACTTACACCAACCCCACTCATATCAAGTTTGATATCTATATTTCCTCTACAATTAAGCCCAGCCTTGTGGGTGGAACATGTCTTAGATCCAGGCTGGGACTCTCTGTTCATGTTCTGCGGATGATTAAAGTTTTCAGCGCTTGAATTTGTTTTGAATTGCAGACGGTCTTATGTTTTGGATCAGTAGATATGATGGACATATCATTTGTTGTAATCACGTGAATAAATAAAATGTGTTTTTGTGACATCTAAAAGATGAATGTGTTATTATGAACAGAAAATGAAAGCCAACATCACATCGCTTGTTTTATCTATTGCTAATTTTTTTTCACTTGCACAAGTTTTCACACATCAGCCCCACAGTTCCAGGACTGGTGAGCTGGGACCGTGCTTGTCAAAAACCAGAAGCCAAGCCACAGTCCTCATTCATTTCTACTTACTTTGTGCTTGATCACAGATTCGATATCTGGCTCTTCCGGGTCACCCTCGGCTCTGTCCGGTACTGGGTTATGGTTCATTTCCTCTTTACTGACGCCAGCCTGACAAACATGCATCAGATGATCAGTCATCCAGAAATACAAACATCACATAGAAAAGTTTTCTTTTTCCTTTTTCTTCAATTTCAACCCCAATTATGGATTTTTTTAATACACTTTACTTAGAAACAACTGAAATTGGCAGATTGTGGTTATTAAAAGTTGAAAGGAAGCCCCAAAACTGTCAACCAAACTTCCAAGTGTATGGGCAGCATTAGTGTTATAGCGTCCATAGTGGCAGACGCCTGATGGCTACCAGCTTGTGAAGCGACTCTGGGACAGTTATTTTTTCTCGACCAAACTAAATTCTAACAGTGAATGTGATTTTCATTCAGGAAACTCCATTCATTTCAAAAGCAAATGTTAAAATCAAATGAGAGTCTCTGATGGCATTATCGAATGTTCTGATGTGATTTTTCATATGGACGTTCGTACAAAATCCTAACTATGTATATAACCAACTTTACTATAACTGGCCAGTCTCTCTCTCTCTCTCTGTAGCTCTCAGTAACTCTGCAGTCTCTCCCTTAAGGTGCCCATACACTGCTCGATTCTCGTACGAGAATCGGGCGAAATCCCGCGATCGTACGAGAATCGAGCAGTGTGAACTAAGACGTGCGGCCGTTTCTACTGTACGGTCGCACGTCTTTTGTCGAGCCAACATGCTTGAAAACCAGCCGAGAATCATACGATTCTCGGCGGGTTTCTAGCCTGCTAGCCCGATAGCTGCGGAACGGGCCGGTGTGCGCACGCGCACACTGCCCGTTCTGCATTGCCGTCATCGGAAGCCCGCCCCTCAGCGGGGCGGGCTTCCGATGATCGCAAGTACGATCTGCCCGTCCAAGGTGGGCAGATCGTACGGGCTTTTAATGAGCATACGACCATCGCAAGACAAAAGTCTTGCGATGGTCGTAAGGTGTATGGGCACCTTAACACTAGGCAGCGTTCCTTTCTGATTGTCCGGTCTCTACCCGTAACTAAGCAGATTCTATCTCTAACTGAGCAGTCTCATCCTAGCAGTCTTTCACTCTTGAGTAGTGTTTCTCTTGATAACTAGGCTGCCTCCCCTTGTAATTGAGGAGATTCTCTCTATAACTGACCAGTCTCTGTCTGTCTGAGTAGTGTTTTATGGGTAAGTGGGCAATATCTGTCTGCTACTGGGCAGTCTCTATCCATAACTGAGCAGTCTCTCTCTGTAACTGAGCAGTCTCATATAAAACTGACCAGTGTCCCTGTAGCTGGGAAGTCACTTGTAATGAGCAGCAGTCTCTATAACATGGTAACATGGCAGTGATAAAAGTGGGCTTTGGGTAATGCTGCAGGTATGGAGTTTGGGGTCGTGTTACAGATACAAGTGGACTGAGAAGCGGGTTATTTGAAGGGTTGTGGGTACAGGTCTTCAGGAACAGACCAGCGCATGTTCTGGTGACGTTATTGGGCCTTTAATAGTACAAGGACATCATGATATTATGCAATAAGTAAATGAAGACTTTGATTACCTTTTGAACATCTTTGTCGTCTTTAACATCCTCATTTGCCTCCGATATCTTACTCTTCTTGTCTGGACTCTGTGGAACATTGGCTCCAGCTTCTCTGTTTGGTTTTGGTTCTGAGCCATCTTTCTTGTTAGAATCTTCTGTGTGACTTTCCTTTGTGTCTCGAGACTTGTTCTCTTCTTTCCTCTTAGTTTTTCCAGGTGTGACAGAAGCTTTGCTGTCTGATTTAGACTTGGACTCCCTCTTGTAGTATTCACCATCTCCTCTCTTATGCCTGGATGATGAGTAATGATTACTGTATTTCTCCCTGTGTCCTCTGGACCCATCAGGACGATCATCCATCTCTTGCTTATCAATCTGCCTGGAGTAATGCCTTCGATCGTGGACCCAGTGATCCGTCCTGTCTCTCTTCTCTTCCCCGTTATCTCGCCATGAACCTTGTTCACGTTCATCTTCCCATCTGCCATAGCTCTGTTGATCCCCCCAAGACTCCCTGCCATTCCCCCATTCTGCTCTGGAGGGTCCTAAGGGACTGTGTGGGGAACTGCAAGATGTGAAGCTGGGAGTGTGGGACTTCGGAGACAAAGAGCGGCTCACCGGGCTGCGCGATCTCGTCCTTTCATTTCTGTATCTATCAACAGGAAGACATGCGTCAAATATGGAAATGCTTAGAAAAAACGTAGAATCCATGTCCTGAACAATCAATATTACCTGTCTGTATCACGGAACATGTCTCTTTCCCTCTGTGAATGAATGTCGAGAATAATGGCATCCACTGTTTTACCCGGCTTCTACAAGAATCAAAACACAACAATTGTATTTTGTTAATAAAAACTACCGTTGTGCCTTAAAACTATTAACTTCTGCATTAGGAACATATGCCTGGTCTAGTGTGCATTTGTGTTTGTATGTTTCTGGACTGACAAAATATTCTGCTACATACTAGGGATTCCAGAACAATGATATTGTGGTACTTGGGGTCCCAAGAACAATAATAGACCGATGTTTGGGGGGTGGCAGGCCAATGGCACACCAACACTAGGGATCCAAGAACAATGACACTTGGAGCCCTGGACCAATGACATAGTGACACTTGGTGACCTGGACTAATGACACAGTAATGCTTGTGGTCCAAGTACAATGAAACACTGACACTTAAAGCCCTAGACCAATGACAGTTGGAACCCTAGACCAGTGACGCACTGACACATGGAGCCATAGACCAATGACATAGTGACGCTTGGTGACCTGTACTAATGACACAGTAATGCTTGGGGCCCAAGAACAATGAAACACTGACATTTGGGGCCCAAGAACAATGACACTTGGAACCCTAGACCAGTGACACAGTAATGCTTGGGGTCCAAGTACAATGAAACACTGACACTTGAAGCCCTAGACCAATGACACTTGGAGCCCTAGACCAATGACACTTGAAACCCTAGACCAGTGGCACTGACACTTGAAGCCATAGACCAATGACACAGTGAGGCTTGGGGTCCCAGAACAATATTACACTAACACATGGAGGCATATGATGACATAGTCACACTTGCGATTTCTAAATAATGACTCGCTGAGTTCCAGAAGAGTGGTAAATGACGGTATGCTGATACTTGTGAAGAGTATACCAAAAAGCCAGTTGGGTGTCCCGACTCAGTAAAAATAATTGTTTGAGCGAATTATATTACAGAAATGATTTTAATGTAACTAATTAATTGCTGCAGAAACTAATTCACTCAAACTGCCTGTATTTAGAATCAGACTTGTGATAGATACAAAGGGGTCCAGCAAGTGCAGCAAACCATAGCAGGCTATTAGATTTCTCTCTTATGTATTCATTGGGGGCAGATAGCTAACTGGCTGGGGGTGTTGCTGTACATAGCTGTTCTTTGCACAATGTGTTCAACATCTTCATATATTACAAAATCGATTAGTTAGCCGATTTATTAAAGTGACATTAAACCCTCAGATTTTTTAACATAAAACAATACTGTAATGTGCGCCTTACTGTAATCCATGGTAGTTTCCCTTCTCTTTGCTGCTCTTCCTTTTTAAATCCTTACCTCTTCTCATGCTGGGGGAGAACTTCTGTTTTGCAGCAGACTGCCTTGTCTCTGGAATGGATACATGGTGTCTGTGTGAAGGTTCACAACCTGAGCCAGCACTACAGGAAGAGGCACTCAGCTGCAAAGGGAAGTTCTCCCCCAGCATGAGAAGAGATAAGGATTTAAAAGGAAGAGCAGCAAAGAGAAGGTAAACTACCATGGATTACAGTAAGGCGCACATTACA